GCTGCACTGAAAACTGTCAAAACTGGAAACTGGTTTCTAGGTTTTGTGATATACCACCAAGTGATGGAGTGATGAAATGAAAATCTACTACTTTATTTATTTTTTTAAAAGAAAGGTTCTCGCTGTCATGATCCTCCTGTCCCAGTCTCCCAAGTAGCTGGGACTACAGACATCACCATTTCACCTGGCTTTAGGGTCAGCTTGGAGTAACCTGTGCCTCCCATGTGGACTCAGTCTACCAGTGCAGGGTACTCTGGCTGGGTTTCTCTTTAAGTGAGGAGGGTATACACAGACAGATACAGACACAGTATGTAAGACTGATTTCAGTCAGCCAGTATTTATTGAATACTTACTGTTTGCGATTTAAAATTAAAATTTGAGGGAAAAGCATTACTATGAATAACTAGTTTCTTAGTGTCTGTTGAACACCATTTTAAGCATTAGTTATTTAAATATGAAATGATTTAACATTTTGTTTTTCACTTTACAAATCCGAAGCTGCTTTTGATTTCATTATTAAATATTTTACATTGAAAAAAAAAAGAAATTGAATTTTAAGATGATGTCTTTCCCAGTCTCACCTTCACAGTTTCAAGTTATCAAAGTTTTAGCTTCTCTTTGCCTGGCAAATAATTACAGTATTCATTTAGGAATAGCTTCTGAGTCAAGCCAGGAGTCTCAAATTATCTTATTATTTATTCTTTTGGTCATTTAAATAACATATTATCATCTAGATCTTCTAAAACCTTTGGTGGATTATATAGTTATAGGGGATTCCATAAAGTGGACACTCGTGTCTTTAAGTAGAGTTGTTTTCAGTGTGTGGGTCCTCAGACCTGTACCATCTACATCATCTGTGACTTGTTAGGAATGCAGGTTTTCAGGCCTTCTCCAGACTTATTCAGTCAGAAACTGTGGGGTCGCTCCCAGCATTTGTGATGCGTCCTAACGTTTGAGAACCATGGCTTAGTAAATGTTAAAGGTTCAAGGTAGCGTGATCCCACAAATCAGTCAAATGGCATTAATTATTAGCCTGGTAAGCCCACCTCCTTTTCAGTCACTGAATTTGATTGGTTCACCAAGGCTAGGCTGTAAAGTTATTTGCTAGGTTGATTGCCACATATTGACTTTAGGTTGTTTGTATTTCTCTAAACCTGTCGCTGTAATGATTTGCCAGGACACTTAATAGGAACAGGCTCTGATTTTTTTTTACACGCAAGGTTTTCTGAGTCATGGGTGTCTGGGTCTTTATGCCCTCCTGATTAGATTTCTTCAGGTACCAGGCATGCCATTCATGTACTTTTATTGAGGGAGGTGTTGAGAGAAGTTTCATCGTTGGAGCCAGGGACCTTCATAGACATGTAGTCCACCTCTGGCTCGGCTTATGTATCGGGAAATTGAGCTCCCATGAGGCTGTAGTCAGGGGTCAGGGCAGAAATTCAAGCTCTTTGACTTTCTCCATTGTACCTGGATTCCTGCAGAGATACAGAGCTGCAGCTTGGCTCCAGGCCTGTAGGACATTCTTTTCCTACAGAGAGGTTTTCTTTTTTATTTAAAGAAAAAAAAAATAACAAATAGAAAAAAGTCAGGAAGTTCTCATCGAAACTAATAAAAGTGTCTAAAGAGAATGAAAAAATCAGTTTGAGAACTTTGGTATGGAGGAAATAACCTGACATTAACTGTTTTAATTATAGTTGTTGCATTGGGCTTATCAGTGTGGGAAGAGAGAGCATTTGTGCCTTACAGGGAAGTGGGATATAGACAACAAGATGACCCTCTTCCTGAATCTGCCTGTTTGGGCCTGCAGCCTAGTGACTGCTGGTGTGTGCCCAATATGTCATGGAGATGTCATGGAGATGGGTTGGACTTTGCAAGAGACATGGGTCCTAGGCCCAGCGCTGCCATCAGCTGGTGGTGTGATGCTCCCTGAGGAGGACACTTCACCTCCCTGGCCTTCACTTTCTGATAAATTGATATACTGCAGCATACCCTGCCCATCCTGAGAGAAAAAGTGTCAGGCAGTAAGAAATAATATATATTTCTATCTCTGCACATTCCTTGGACCAAGACTCCTTAGGTGCAAATTCCAGCTCTCCCACTCACTTCTGTGACAATAGGCAGGTCACTTACCACTCTGTTCTCTCACCTGTGGAAAGGGTATAATGCAGTTAACTGCTTCATAGGACTATTGTGAATATTAAATTAATCTGTATGGAGAGTTTAGAACAATACTTCTTATTTTGTAAGTGCTATGTTTTAGCTGCTGTTATTATTATTTAAAAAGAAACATTTTTAAGAATGGGATAAGATTTCCACAAACATGTTCTCAAATGATTTCACCACTCAACACAGTTTTGGGCAAAACTGTGGAGGAGATATTTTGATATCTAGGTTGTCCCTGGGCCCTGCTATGAAAGGAAACTTTTTTGTTTTTGATGATTTAAAGACTCTTTTGATGTTTATTTTCTTATTGATAACTAAGGAAATAAAAATGCAAGCATTTCAAGATCATTTCACACCATGAGTTTGGTAAAGACTAAGTTTTTTTTTTTCACTATCCCATCTCTCTCAACCCCCATTACTCACCCCCTCTTCTACTGTCTCTTGTATCTATAGTTGTCCCTCTCCTCCCATTATAAATTTCCATCTTTCAGTTCCTGCCATAAAGTGCAAACATTCAGTGTATACTGAGTAGGGACATACAATGTCTCTCATAGACTGCTTTGCTTTGCATTAAGTCTTCCATATTCATACTCTTTGTATCAAATGTTAATGTCTCATTGGTTTTTATGGCTGAGTAGTATTTTATAGTGTATATGTGCCACATTTTTGGTTTTGATGCCTGGGATGGGCAGGCCTAAGCCTCAGATATTGCATGGTTTGTGCACAGAGTGGTGTGGCTAGAGGAAACCTGAGGGTGGTGACTTCTCAATTCTTATTTTTTTTTTTTTTTTTTTTTTGAGAGGTTTTTGCTATAGGGCAAGCTCGTTTGTCAGAAAGACAGAGAGAGACAGAGAGACAGAAAGCAAAAAATCACCCCCCAAGGGTGATAACCTTGCCACAATCCCTTCTCCATTCTCCTCTTGGGATCTTGGGCATGCACACACACGTGCCTGGCATGACTTTAAGCCACTGGGTCTGGGACTTGAACATGAGAGTCCAGCGACATAGCCATTACGTGCCAACTGATGGTCCCTCAGTTCTGCTTTTAGGTATACGTACATGAGCCATCCTGGAAAATGGACATCTTAACCTCCAAGAAAGTGTTCATGAACTTCACTTTTCATTTGTATTGTTTCATTCAATTTCTTTTCATTTCACCTTTCCAGTCATTGCTAAAATTCTTAATATGCATTTTATTGATGAAAATTCTAACTCTAGGTTAAGATATTGTAGTTTTCCAGCAGTGAGTGGCAGACTTGGGGTAGACTTCCTTCCTTCCAAGCTAAAGTCAGTGAAATAATAGTAATAATAGTTTTTTTTTTTCTACTATTGCCACGTTTTGTTTTGTTCTTCTTTTTCCCCTGAGTAGTCTGTTTTGGGGAGAAATTTGGGTGATAAAGTGCCTTTTCATTGTCTCTCAAAGGGATCAGGATCATCAAGAGTTTGAGAATTTTTGTTCTACCTATATGTGTAAAATTAATTTCTGCTTTTCATTACTTTGACCCCCCACTGCAGTCTCTATTTGTGATCTACTTATCTTTTGGTGAGCCTCTTACAGTTAGAGATTATATTTTATTTATTTATCTATGTATTATGTTCCCCCCCCCCTTTTTTTTTTTGCTATAGGGTGGGTGCGCTCACCAGAGAGATAGATAGAAATCAAGAAATCACCCCCTGGAGGGATGGCCCCATAGTAATCTCTTCTCCTCAGTTCTCCTCTCTGGATCTTGGGCACACATGCACGCGCCCCAGTGTGAATTTTAAGCCTCCATGTCCGGACTCGAACCACCATTGGCTATGTGGGAGTCCAGTGACATAATCATTATGCCATCTGCGGTCTCAGTTTCTCCTTTTTATCTGTGTCCTGGTATAGTGCTCGGTACTTGCTAGGTTTTCAATGTTAGTTTGTTAAATGAATGTGGTTAATGTTTATTCCATGAGTGGGAGAGACAGAGGTAGCAAACCAGGGAGAGAAAGAGATACAGCGTCCTTGATGAAGTGCACCCCCAGTCAGCCAGCCTGGGTCATGGGTATTCATGTGCCCAGTGTGCTCAATGAGGTTTCCTATGTGGGTCTGCTTCTCAGAGTATTGCATTTTACCACTGGGCCACTGCCTAGCTCCTGATTACTTCTTGAAGTGGCCTCTTTTAAAACTTAAGGTTAAGTAATTCATTAATTTCATAGTGAACCCAGTTCTTCCTGTACATTCATTGATGAATTTTTTGCATTTTCATCTGACATACCCAGATCTTAACATGATCATGGCATGTCCTTGATGGTATGCCTTTCATTGGGAGATAGGAATATAACAGCTGGGGATATTGAAATACCGAGAGCTATACCACGAAAGAAGTTACTGTGGAAAGAGACTTGGGATGAGCACCTGTGCTCCTGTGACCCCGAAGCCAAAAGATGAAAAACTGATTGAGAAGCTACAGGGAATCCCAGATCAGGTTGATGTGGGAATGAACGTTAACCTGGATTGGATCACACATCTTTAGTAAGTGGGAGTTATGAGTAGCGTCTTATTTCATTATTTTTTGGAGAGGTTTTCGCTATAGGGCACATGCGCTCGCCAGACAGACAGACAGAGACATAGAGACAGAAAGCGAGAAATCACCCCCCAGGGGGGATGGTCACGCTGCAATCACTTCTCCTCCATTCTCCTCTCGGGATCTTAGGTATGCACACACACGCGCCCGGCGTGTTTTAAGCCACCGGGTCCGGGATGCGAACCGCGGTCGACTGCGTGGGAGTCCAGCGACATAGCCATTACGCTAACTGCTGGTTCCCAAGTAGTGTCTTATTTCTAATGGGCATTTGTTTTTTACTTTCAGCATTGCAGTGTCGGGATGGATATGAGCCCTGCGTAAATGAAGGGATGTGTGTTACCTACCACAATGGCACGGGTTACTGCAAGTAAGTTTTTCCTTCATATACTTTCTTTTTCCACATTAGGACACTAGCTAAGATTTGGTTCTATTTCTCTATCTTTAATACTTCTGTGAAATATTACTGGCTCTCAGACTTTCCTGATACAGTTTTTGTGGGAGATAAGGATGGAAGGATATAGATATAAGTGGTTAGTGAGGACATCTTACTAGCTTACCGTTAATCTTTTTCATTATCAAAAAGACTTTTCAGTGAGGCTGCTCAGTAGATAATGAGTATATTCTCTCGCATTCTTCAGTTAGAGACATCGCTTTGTAATCTACTCTCAACACAGTAGCTTTGTACTTATTTTTAAGTTAAACCAAATTGATACTAATTTAAATTTTGCCCAGTATAAGTGGATGTTACAGTCATATGAAACATTTTTCCCCTAGAGTAAAAAATCCATTTCTGAGACTGTGAAAGAAGGTGGATATATATGTTTAGGATGGGGTGGGGAGCAGGGACTGGGGGTGTGTGTTATTAACTTAGAAGAGGAAGGGCAAGGGAGAGGACTGGGCAATATAGCTCAGTTCTTGAGCATTTCTTTTTTTCCCCCTCCAACCATCTAGATTAGCCTGACTTTGTTTGAGGAAGGTTTGAGATAAATTTCCTGAATAGCTTTTCTAGGTTTCCTATGAACTGTTTTCTTTTTTTCTACTTCAATTGAAAGAAAAAAAATTTAGTTGCTAGAGGGCATATGTACTTGTCAGAGAAAGAAAGAGAGAGAGGAGAGAGAGAGAGAAGGCACCTCTCAGTGGGATGATGGTGTCATGCCACAATCTCTTCTCCTCCATTTCTCCATCCTGTTGGGATTTGGGGCAGGCATGCTCATGCACCCAAAAGGTTTTTCCAGGCTAAGGGGCTAGTGCCTAGTTGAAGATTTTTGTTGGAAACAGGTATCCATTTTATTTCATGTAAAATAATATTTAATAATATGAAATTTCTTTTTCTTCACTTTTATGGGATGTAGTTTTTCTTTGCTGTGGTGGAGCTACTTGCTTGATAATCATTTTAAGTGCGCTTATTCAACACATTTTGTTTCTTTTCTGGATAGTAATTAAATATCATAAATATAATTATGATTTTTTTTTCCAGTAAAGTTCATCCTGACACCAGGATATAAGTTCTTTGATGATATAAACAGCATATTTTTTCCCAAGTCAGAAGCAGTTTTCTTCACCAAAGTGAAAATATTTTAAATTGTGATGACAGCAAAGTTTAATACTAGGTTGTTTGGATTGGAATAAAGATGACATTGGAGATGAAAGTTTTTATGTAACTGATTATGGACTGCTTGTTTAGTTTTTCTAGCTGGAAAAAAACATGTGCACATTCTTCTCTTTGAATGGAAATGCAGCTGGAGATAGTAAAGGAGGGAACTTAATACCTCAGCATTGGCCACTGAAATCTTGTTTGGTCTCTTTGTGGTATCTGCTGCCTTACTGGCTCGCTTCATTCTTTCTTGCAGCTCCCTGTGGCAGTTGGCCCATTAATTGTGACCACTTATTGACATGTTTGCTTCTCCCACTGGTTTGTCCTCATTTTTGTATAGTTAAGGCATAGTACAGTGCCCAATGTGTAGTGGTTGTTCAATGATGTGTTTCTTGAATTAGAAGATGCTCAGTAGATCATTGTTCACGTTTCTCTTATCTGTGTATCTTAAATGAGAAGACATTGGTTCTCACTTTTTGGAATTTTATTTGCTTCGGTAGCATTCAGGTTGGTAGTACCAGAGAAGAAAGTTAGTTCTATTTAGAGATCACTTAATGACACTTTAGTGACTGGTGTAGGGAGAATTTAAAATAGGTTCTACATGTTGGCCTATAAACTTTTGGTCTGATACAGGGAGAGGGAATCTAGGAGAGACCAATCTCTGAGCACTTCCCGGGAGAGGATACTAAAGGTCACTTTTTTCAGATTTTGTGGATTTCTAGTTTCAAACTCTCCAACAACGGTCAAGTTGCTCTCATTTTCTGAAAGAAATACTGTTGGGTGGGACCAGTAGATGGTGTAATGTTTACATCTCTGGACTCTCACATAGTTGACCATGGTTTGGGTCCCAGGCCCAGCAGCTTAATACACTGGGCACATGTGTGTGCATGCCCAAGACCCCAAGAAGAGAATGGAGGAGAAGGCATTTTGGCATGGCCATCCCCCCTGGGGGGGTGATTTCTCACTTTCTGTCTCTCTGTCTCTCCCTGTCTCTCTGGCAAGCGCACACTTTTGGCCTGTAGCATAAGTTTCTCTTAAAAAATAAAGAAAAGGGACCAGCAGTTAGCGTAATGGCTATGTCGCTGGACTCCCACATAGTCGACCACAGTTCAAGTACCGGACCCGGTGGCTTAAACTCACGCTGGATGTGTGTGTGTGCGTGCCCAAGATCTCGAGAGGAGAATGGAGGAGAAGGGATTGCGACATGACCATCCCCCCTGGGGGGTGATTTCTCGCTTTCTGTCTCTCTGTTTCTCTCTGTCTGTCTGGCGAGCACACACGCCCTATACCAAAAACCTCTCCAAAAAAGAAAAAAAATAATAAGGAAAAGAAGTACTGTTGGAGGAGGGCAGGAACTCACTCTCTGGCTGACGAAAATGACGCTGCCTAAGTTCTGTCCTTGGATTCTTGTTCATCGTTGATGGTGGATGCGAATGGATGTGCTCTGGGTGGATCCCTTAGATGTCCTCCAACCTGTTGTGAAAGAAACAAACTCCTTAAGAAAGGGAAAGTAAGAAGAAAAAGAATTGGTTGCGCCTCTGGGAGAGCACTTGGAACAAGTCTTAGAAAAAGAGAGTGTTCCCCTGCCTCAATAAAAGTAATATTAGCATCTTTTGGGGTTGGAGGGTCAAATAAGTGAACAGAGAAGGAAGAACAGTGTCAAGGAAGCTGAGGCAGTCGTTCCTACAATGCCGTGCCTATATCCACAGAATTTTAAGCAAAAATAATGCCTACTCAGCACCCCTTTCAGTATATCGTCACCAACCTCTCTCTTTTCCCTGGGGAAAGAGGTAATCCATCTTGTTCAGTAAATATTATTTTCACAAAATAGTAAATAAATATTAAAACACTTAGGAGGTTTATAAAAATTATATCAGTCATGCAGGGCATGTGATTATCTTTTCATTCATGAGAATGCTTAGTGGATTAAGGAAAGAACACTGAAGCCAAATCACTTCTTTGGGGGTGGTGGGAACGAGTGGCACATGTTTTAAAGTAGAAGGTATCTATCTGTGTAGAGAACATTATGCTACTGATTCAGCTAAAATGTAATGATTGTTTATAGAAATTACAGAAATCCTTGATAAGATCACATTAACAGATGAGGATAAGTCCTTTTAAAGATTAGTTTTGTACACAGCTCAACAGTTTTTTTCTCACTGTTAAGAGCCTACGTATCCTATCTGTGATTAGATTGTTGCCTGACAAGGAGAACCTGTGTAATCTTGCATAAAACTCAATTATTGCTGCTAAATAGTTGCTGTCAGATCTTAATAAAGCCCTCTCACTATAGAGAGATAAGATATTTTGTTCTTGCCATTGTCCTGCTGGAAGGCGTACATATATAATTAAGTTTGAATGTCATTAATCACTTTCAGGTTGTTTGCACCAGGCTTTCATGTACACACCATTCCAAATCCCAATTTGATTAAAAATCATGGGCAACTTAAGTGCACTGGGATTCTGGGGGTAGGTGAGGTCATACTTTGTACAATTTACAAAATAAGCATTTTAAGGACATAGTTATCATAGTTGTTTAAAAGTTCTTGTCTGCCAAATCTTAACGTCTGGGGTGTCTGTGGGTGTGTTTCTTCCAGCTGCTCTAACTGTGAGTACAATTTTCCTTTACTTCACCTGTGAGGTGGTTTTTAATGGTTTACTGGACATTGTGGGCAGTGCAATTTATAGCTTTATTTTACACTAAAGAATGCTGAATGTTGTCCCGGTAGGCAGTTGCATTCTTGGACATATCACCATGATCCTTGGAGGCCTGGTCGTGGCTTTGTCAGAGTGGTCTACTTCTGTTTTGCTCTTAGTCCAATGATAAAAATCTTATTCCTGTAATATGGTCCTTATTCCCAAGATAGGACCTTTCAGGGAGTTCAGCAGAAAGTGGGAGGGGTTTTCCAAACCCTGGGGTGTTTATTAAGCCCCTCTAACTTGGCAGCGTGGAATAGAAACCTCTGTCTCCCTAGCAGCAGGAGCCTTCCAGCCCTGGCTTTCTCTGGGGTTCCTGACTCTCATCTTGTTCATGCATGGTCAGAAACCATTTAAAGATGTGAGCAGAGCTGTATGCCCACTTTATGGCTCTCAACTCTGTGGTTCCTGCTGCTTTGACAGCTCCAGCACCCCTGACTTTTCAGCCCAGTAAGACTTCTGTTTTCTGCTTCTACTTTCTTCCTCTATGTTGCATGGACCTGGGGAGTACTTTCAGGGGGAAAGCTGTATAAATGTGAGTTTCACATAGTTTGCTTCCCCTTTTGGGGGGCTCATATTCTTTTTAGTGTCTGCCTGACTTTGGTTGCTCTCTGATGTCTCTGGTATTTGTCCAGAGTTTTTAATTGTTATAAGCAAGAGGGCTGGTCCGATATAAGTTACTCACCCATTATTTTTTTAAGGAATTATTCATTTTATTTTATTTATTATCATCATTCTATTTAATTTGACCAGAAAGAGATAGAGAGAAAAAGAGAGAGAGAGAGAGACAGAGAAAGATTAAGCGAGAAAGCAAGCTGCTAAATGCAGGACTCAAACCATGGTAGGCCATGTGAGAGTCCAGCGCCTTAACCACCATGCCACCTGCCAGTCCTAGACCATTCTTTTTTTATGATAAAAATTGGAATTATAAAGGGGTCTTCCAGAACTTCCTATGTACCATTCAGAAGGTGTCTACGTCAGGAAGCTGCCATGAGTTATATTGGTTACTGTGGATGAATGCTTGCACTTAAGAATCCTGTTTTTTGCCAAAGTGCCTATCCAAAAACTACATTTTA